AACCCTAAACCCCTAAACCCTAAACCCTAAACCCTAAACCCTAAACCCTAAACCCTAAACCCTAAACCCTAAACCCTAAACCCTAAACCCTAAACCGTACCCTAAACCCTAACCTCCAGGAGTCCCTCGTGCCCTCCAATGGTCTACTCCCGATGCGATGCCCACACAGCTCAAAAGTTGAGAGCCCCCAAACACCAAAGCCTATAGACCCCTAAAGGCCAAAGGCTAAACGCTAAACCCCAAACCACTAACCCTAAACCCCCAACCCCCAACCCCCAACCCCCAACCCCCAACCCCCAACCCCCAACCCCCAACCCCCAACCCCCAACCCCCAACCCCCAACCCCCAACCCCCAACCCCCAACCCCCAACCCCCAACCCCCAACCCCCAACCCCCAACCCCCAACCCCCAACCCTAAACCCTAGACCCTAGACCCTAGACCCTAAACCCTAAACCCTAAACCCTAAACCCTAACTCGCCCCTGCACCAGGAGACCACCACCTCCCCCAGGCGTCGGAGGCAGAGGGGTCCGGGCCTCGATGCTTTTGTGGCCGGCTTGCAAGGCATGTCGATCTTTGAGGCTTCAGGAGGGTTTAGGGTTTAGGGTTTCGGGATTAGGGTTCAGGGTTTAGGGTTGGGGTTTAGGGTTTAGGGTTTGCCGGCGTAATTCATATGAAGCCTTAGGCGTTCATGGTTTTTTTGGGTTTAGGGTTAAGGGTTTGGGGTTTAGGGTTTGGGGTTTAGGGTTCAGGGTTTAGGGTTTAGAGTTTGGGGTTTAGGGAATTATCCTCAGGCTCTTTCTGTCCAAAGGCAAGGCACCAACAAGCAGAGCAACCCAGAGCACCCGTAGCAAAACTAACTGCCCAACCTCTTTGGGCAGTTTAGGGAAGTTTTGGGTTTAGGGTTTAGGGTTTTCCTTGCCCATACCAGAGGGTCAAAAGATGGTTTGCAGGCTGGGCCCCTGCCGGGGTTGATGACACGAGAGTCTTGGGCCAATGTAAAGGATTCTCGCCCACGAACTGTTCACGTTTGCCGGGGTTGTGTGTAGAGCAAACTGAAGGCTGCGCTGAAGACGCCAAACCCTCAAACTTATTCCTGGCGCGGCATGTTCTTGGCGGCATCGGTAAACCCCAAACCCCAACCCTCGAATGCCCTTGCAACCCTGAAAGCCCTCAAAGCCCTTCGAGCCTTTAAAGCCCTTAAAGCCCACGGAACCTTTAAAGCCCTCAAAGCCAAACACCCCAGCCCCAAAGCCCCTTAAGCGCCCAAAGTGCCCTGAGGCCGGTGCACTGCCCCCGCCACCTCTAAGCCTCGGGCCGCCACCGGCAGGTCTGCATCCGCTTCTTCTGCTTCTGCTTCTTCTTCTTCTTCTTTGTTTCTCTTTGTTTCTTTTTGTTGATGGTCTTTTGTGTTTGTCTCTTTTTGGTTCAGAAGGCTGCGCAGGCAATAGTTGATAAGGGCCTTGTGCCTGTCTTGTGCTTTTCATTCGGTCCGCATGGAGAAGTATGCCCAAAATGCTCCCAACCCTAAACCCTAAACCCTAAACCCTAAACCTTAAACCCTAAACCCTAAGCCCTAAGCCCTAAACCCTCAACCCTAAACCCTAAACCCTAACTCTCTCCCCACCACCAGGACCTCCGAAGCTCCCTTCGCGCGCGAAAGCCGCCTTCCAGGAGGTGTCGCAAACCCGTGCCAAATTGTGGCTTAGGATCCTAAGCCCCCATTAAGCCCTAAACCCTAAGCCCAAAACCCAAAACCTAAACCCTGAACCCTAAACCCTAAACCCCAAACCCCAAACCCTAAACCCCAAACCCTAAACCCTGAACCCTGAGCATTTCGGCGTTTAGGGCTTTGTTCGCACTCTGGAAACGAAGCCCGACTGTGCATCCGAAGCTGCCTTGAGATGAACTATAGGTATGACAATTGCGAGAATTTTCATAGAAAGCACTGATAGGGTTTAGGGTTTAGGGTTTAGGGTTTAGGGTTTAGGGTTTAGGGTTTAGTGTTCATGTTACTAAAGTATGCGGGAGAGCAGCCTGGCAGGCGGGTCCCCCGCCGAGCCGTGCGCCACGACGTGGCCGCCCGCGGCCGCGCGGAGCAGGCGCGGTAGGATAAGGGGGGCCCCTTGTTGAGAGGGTCTATAGCCGCAAGGGTCCCCCTCATCCTATCCCCTATGATTGGGCCGAGAGGCGTTTAGGGTTTAGGGTTTGGGGATTAGGGTTGCGGGGGCGGTGGTTTGGGGTCTAGGGCTTAGGTTTGAGGTTTAGGGCTTATTAGAGTTTGGAGTTTAGGGTTCAAGGGTTTCGGGGTTCAGGGCTGCCCTAAACCCGAAACCCGGGACCCTGAATCCAAAGACCCTTCCTCAAACCCTATATCCCAACGCCCCCGAAGCCGCAATGGCCAGGCAAACGCCTTCGCGCCCGACCCTTGCTAGCGAAGACCGCTACGGGCCTGGAGAGCGACGACAGCTCAGAGGAGAGATGGGCTTGGTCTCTCAGTGGGAACTTTTCCCCATTTTGGTTGGTTCAAGCTTTCAATCAAGGTTCCTGAAAAACATAACCAACCCCAAAAAGTGCCAAAACGGGTACCCCTACTATGACATGGTTACTGGGCTACCAAGTGGGTTGGGAGGGGTTAGAGGGTTCGCCGGATTTACAGGGTTTCTTTGGAGTTTGCAGGGGTTTTGGCTTAGAGTTTAGTGCTTGAGGCTCGGGTTTGGGGTTTTGGAGGGTTTGTAGATCCTAATGGTTGGGCTTGTCAGGAGTTTAGGTAAGTTAGGGTGTCTGGGGGCGTTTAAGGGTTATTGGCGTTCATTAGCGCAGAGGGGGAGAGAGACCAAACACAAGGGCATTCTAACAGCGACAGGCAACACAAAGATGTTGCAGCTGCTGATGATGTTGGTGTGATGATGATGATGATGATGATGTTGATGATGATGTCGGCGGTGGTGAAGAGGATGCCAATGACGATCGCAAGGTTGGTGAGATGCTATCCTGTATATGGTATACATTGTACCGTATTATGTATTAGTATAGTATATTAGACATTATGTGCAATATACGGTTTGCCACAGACTACCAACTATAAGCCATATAGTGTATAAGTTATATTTTAATTTGACCATATTTTACCTTGTAGACTAAACCATCAGTAGCAAAGTATTAAAAAGACTCAAAAATCTATATTCATTCAGGAATGAGTAGAATAGACAATGCGTTACAATAAACTACAGTGCCCTACCATACCATACCATACCATTCCATACCAACACATGCATTATTGTTTTACATATTACACATTGCATTTTACCTTTTCTTTACATTGTGTATAGTATGTCCTGTGCTATATATATATATACAAATATATTCTATTACATTTTGTACCTTCAATAAAATCTGCAGTGCAAGCTGCAAACCATACGTAATATGTAATATGCATTTTGTAGTATAGAATGTATCAGATACTGTTTGTTATCTATTGCATGCTATGTACCGTCTATGGTCTATTGGCTATGGTTTGTCATGGCGTATATTGTATACTACATATTGTAGATGACACTAACGTCATATTGTATCACACATTCTGCAGGCTACACAGGTGCTGATGACGGCCGTCAAGCCCTAAACCCTAAACCCTAAACCCTAAACCCTAAACCCTAAACCCTAAACCCTAAACCCTAAACCCTAAACCCTAAACCCTAAACCCTAAACCCTAAACCCTAAACCTTGTATAGGTCTGAGAGACGCGGTCGATGTAGTCCTAGACACAGGCATGGGCTCTGGAACCCCCAACCGACTTTGAGAACTCTAGTGGCCCCCGAATCCTCCTAAACCCTTAGAGGGTTTCCTAAACCCTTAGGGTTTAGGGTTTCGGGTTTAGGGTTTAGGGTTGGGGTCTAAACCCTTAGGGTTTAGGAGGAAGTGGGTTCAGGTTTGGGAAGACGGGGTTGCGGATTTGGCATTGAGAAGGATTTAGCGTTTGTGGGGTCGGCTGCAGGAGGATGCGCCAGCATCGCAGAGCAGAGGGTCGAAGCAGGCCGCTGCATCTAAGGGTTCAGGGTTCAGGGTTCAGGGTTTAGGGTTGAGGGCCAGGCGTTCTCTGTAGAGATCATACAGCGCCTTCAGGGTTTCGAGCTTCCTGGAAGGGGGGCTCTAGGTGGCTACTAGTAGCAGTCTACCAAATCCCTGCAAATGCAGCACGTGTTTTAGGGTTCAGGGTCTCTCGGTTGCGAGCCTCATGCAAGGGGCTTTGCTGTAACAACTACCTGCTTTGCAGCCCCCTCCCCCAAACCCACCCCCACCTGAACTCCAACTCCCCCCCCCCCCCCCCACTGCATTTTGTTGGGGGACCCCAGAAAGGATCAAAATTTAGAGAAGTGACCAGATACCTCAAGCCTTAAACCCGAACCCCGGAGCTTTATATCCTAAACCGCAGGCTTCCGCTTCTTCGAGCCAGGCGGAGGAGCGTTGATGCACGGCTCTTGGTGTGGTCTAGGGTTTTTAAGGCCTTGCTTGCAAGGGTTTAGGGTTTAGGGTTGTTAAGGCCTTGCTTGCAAGGGCTTAGGGTTTAGGATGTTGGGTTCAGGGTTTTGGGGTTGTCGGGTTTAGGGGCCCAAGGGATAGGTGTAGATTTTGGTGTGCTTTAAGATTCGAAGCCCAAATCCGCCTTTGAAGCAAGATTGCCTTTGGACTCCACACAGGTAGGCGATTATCAGCGTCTGCGCGACATTTTCGATCCCGGGCCCGAATCCTGCCCTAACAAAACCCTAGAACCTCGATGTCCAAGTAAGCCCTGCCCCCTACATCATGAAGCAAGTATAACTGTACTTATATCCCACTTGAAAGCCCCTTAAGTGTGCCCTAAGATGGTTATAAGTACAGCTTTAAGTACGATTGTCCTATACCCCTTCCAGCCTGAAGCGCGTCTTGTTTTGGCCCAAGCGCGGTCAGGGGCAAGGAAGGCACCTGCTCACACCCAGTCGCCCCATTTTTGGCAGCATCATGGCCACCCGCTTCTTCGCCAGCGCCTCCAAGATCTACGAGTACGTCTCCTCTCCGAGGAGCTCCACGTTTGGGTTTAGGGTTTAGGGTTTAGGTTTAGCGTTTAGGGTTTAGGGTTTGGGGTTTAGGGTTCAGGGTTTAGGGCTAGACCATATAAACCCTCCTAACTCATCCAGCTAAGTCGTAGCGAAGCCCTATAAACCCGAACTAAGCCCGAACTACACCCTCAGGGCTTTCGGGCCTTCAGGCTTTCGGGCCTTAAGGCTTATGGGCTTCAGGACGTTTGGAGTCTTTAAGGGGGCTTCTTTAGGGCTGAAGGGTTTGGGGTCTTGAGTGTTGGTGTTTCGGGGCGTCACTTCTTTAGGGTTCAAGGGCTTAGGTTTTAGAGTTTGAGTTTTGGGGGTTTCGGGGCTTCAGGGCCGTAGGGGCTTCTTTATCTGGGGTCTGCAAGGCTTGGAGGCTTTAGAGTCTCTAAGGTTGAAGGATTTAGGGTTTAGGGTTTAGGGTGATGTTGGGAGCTTCAGGGTCGGGTTTTGGGGTTCTTTGAGGGTAGAGCTTGGGGTTTGGGGTTCAGGGTTTAGGGCTCAGTGGGGCGATGGCTTTGTGGCTTTGGGGCATTTGGGGCCTTTCGGCTCTTCGGGTCCTAGTATCGGGGTTAGGACTTATAGGCTATTTTTCGGGTGTAGCTGGATGAGTTAGGAGGGTTTATATGGTCAAGCCCTAAACCCTAAACCCTAAACCCTAAACCCTAAACGCTAAACCCTAAACCCTAAACCCTAAACCCTAAACCCTAAACCCTAAACCCTAAACCCTAAACCCTAAACCCTAAACCCTAAACCCTAAACCCTAAACCCTAAGCTTAGGAAGCTCAAGACCCTTAGGAGCCCTGGCTCTCCCGCTGGCGCCGAGAGCCCGGTGGCAAAGGCGCCGCTTGTTTCTTTGGTTGCTTGGGGTTAGGGTTGAGGGTTTAGGGTTTGGGGTTTGGGGTTTGGGGTTTAGGGTTTGGGGTTTGGGGTTAGGGTTTAGGGTTTAGGGCTTGCTTGAATATTTTCCAACCCCTAGGCCCCAGATCCTAAGCCCTATACTCGAAACAGACTCAATAAGGGGTTTGTGGTTTCGGGTGTTTTTGGGGTGGGTCCTGTTATTGGCTGAGTTGGTATTGAGCTGTTGTTGTGTTGAGTGGGTGGGCCGGCAGGTGCGGGGTGGGGGGGGGTTTAGGGTTTAGGGTTTAGGGTTTAGGGTTTAGGGTTTAGGGTTTAGGGTTTAGGGTTTAGGGTTTAGGGTTTAGGGTTTAGGGTTTAGGGGTGTGGCGGGTGAGGGGTCAGTGTAAGGGCCGGAGGCAGCTTTGGTGTGCTAAGTATTGGTTAGGCCACTTCTCTACATTATGGTCCCTTCTGGGGTTATTATAAGGTGGCCTCGGCGGCCCCTAAACATTAGGGTGCCCGACCAGGGACCTAATTGAGAGAACTCAGGGGGGGGTGGGGGGTGATGAGAAAAATGCCGACGAAACCCCAAACAGCCTAAATCGTATGAAAGCCCCAAGAAGAAACCCTGAATCCTAAACCCCCAAACCCTAAACCCTCATGCCCTAAGACGCAATGCTTCGTGGGCCCCGGTTCATGCACAAGAGCTGAACCCTTCCAAGAGAGCTTTGGGTCCCTTCAGCTAGACCAGTCGTCCGCAGCCACTCCAAGAAGTGGTACGCTCATCAAATGCCACTGGCGCAGTGCCAACTCATTCTCATCTCATCAGAATCCTCACGAACCCTGAGCACCGTACGAGCGGTAACTCCAAACCCTAAACCCTAAACCCTAAACCCTAAACCCTAAACCCTAAACCCTAAACCCTAAACCCTAAACCCTAAACCCTAAACCCTAAACCCTAAACCCCTAAACCATAAACCCTAAACCCTAAACCCTAAACCCTAAACCCTAAACCCTAAACCCTAAACCCTAAACCCTAAACCCTAAACACTAAAACCCTAAACCCTAAACCCTAAACCCTAACCCTAAACCCTAAACCCAAACCCTAAACCTACCCTAAACCCTAAACCCTAAACCCTAAACCCTAAGCCCTAAGCCCTAAGCCCTAAGCCCTAAGCCCTAAACCCTAAACCCTAAACCCTAAACCCTAAACCCTAAACCCTAAACCCTAAACCCTAAACCCTAAACCCTAAACCCAAATTTGAGGGGCTTCGCCCTGATGCGCCAGCGCAGAATTTTGGTTTAACGAAAGATTTCGCGGTTGCCTCACTGAAGACATGAAGACTAGAGCATGCTGAAAGAATTGAGGAAACTGAAAACAAAGAGGTTCAGCTATATTTCGTCAGAAGTCTGATCTAAAACTCTTTGGTCCCAGACTTTCAATTTACTTAAACCTCTTTGCGAAAAGCTCTGAAAGGTACTAACCAAGATTCCCATGTTTCAATGAAGCTTCGTAAGAAGTCGTCGATTTCCTCACACTCGTTGGTCCATGTATCCAATTTACTAAACATCCTTGCCGAAAAGACTTACTAGCGAAAACACCTCTGTTTTGGCATTATAGATTGTTTAGAAGGGTTTCGAAGGGTTTTATTAGAAGGCTTTAGAAGGTTAAGAGGGTTTTTAACGGATTTAGAAGGGTCTTGAAGGGTTTTGAAGGTTTTAAAAAGGTTCAGAAGGAGTTTCGAAGGGTTTAGAAGAGCTTACAAGGGTTCAGAAGGGTTTTGGACTGAGTTTAAAGGATTTAGTTGTTTAAGGGCTTACCAGGGCTTAGAAGGGTTTAGAAGGGTTTAGAAGGGCTTGGAAGGATTCGAAGAGTCTAGAAGGGAATAGAATGATTGTAGAAGGGATTAGAAGGGTCGTTTAGGGCTCATCAGGGTTTAGAATTGTGTAGAATGGTTTCTAAGGGTTTAGAAGAGTTTAGCAGTGTGTAGAAAGATGTAGAAGGGTTTAGACGGGTTTAGAAGAGTTTCGAAGGGTCAAAACATGCCAAAAACTCTGAGACAAATTCGTTTTCAAAAGGCGCTTTGTAAACAAATCTGTTTACATCGGATCCGGGAGGTCTGACAAAGGCAAAAATGGTCCAAAATCATTCAAATTGGCCATTGGGCGGGTTTCCCAGGCTCGGAATTCAAATCATCTGGGGCTGGGGGGACCGTGTGGGGCAGGAAAAGCTCAAATCGAGTTTAGAATCTTAGGGCTTTGAAATGGTTCCTGGGGAAGGGGGGGTCTTACCTGATGAATTGGCCAGGGCGCCAGCTGCGCTGGCGAACCCTAAACCCTAAACCTTAAACCCTAAACCCTAAACCCTAAACCCTAAACCCTAAACCCTAAACCCGAAACCCTAAACCCTAAACCCTAAACCCCAAACCCTAAACCCTAAACCCTAAACCCTAAACCCTAAACTCTAAACCCTAAACCCTAAACCCTAACCCTAAACCCTAAACCCTAAACCCTAAACCCGAAACCCGAAACCCGAAACCCGAAACCCAAACCCTGAACCCTAAACCCTCCCCCCCCCCCACCCCTGCACATACACATAACACAACAAGACACGCAGCTACCCAAAAGTTTGAATCGCATATGAGGTCGAGCCACCCGAAGACCGACGAACGGGTCCAACCACAAGCGCGTCTACAGAAGGGGACGATGCCAAAGTCCAAAGAAATGCAAAGCTAGCAAGAAAACAAAGCAAAAACGATCTCTCCCATGACCGTTAGGAGGAGAACGACGCAAGGACACCATGGCCGGAAAAACACCTGCCCACGAACGCCGACCTAAATGCCACTTGGTGCGACAAAGAGCAAAGGAGAACACGCCACCTTCTGTGCAAAGCGATCAAGAACGGCCAGCGCACGAGCAAGCAGAGCGAAGAACGCAAGACCTGCGTGTCGCTGATCCTGAGCACGATGAGCTATCAAGAAGAACTTCGCAACTGGAACACGCTCCTGGAGAATGAAAAAGAAGTCCAAGATGAAACTTCCGTCCTGAAAGCCAGGTTCATCGAGCTTTGGAAAACAAAGCAGAGCTCCTTCTTCATCTACGAGACCGAGACCCGAGAGCTCGCCCACCAAATCACAAAGAATGCCGTCACCAACGCAGAGCTCCAACTCCAGATGGATGCGACGCACGCCAGCCTCGGTCAAGCACGAGGCCAACTTCATCACGTGCTTTTCAGTCACGACACAGCGCCCAGTAGCACCAAGAACCCGGAAGTCCTGCAGCTGAAACACCTGCGTCTCGCCCATGACCGCATATTTCGGGTCGATGCGCAAGAAATAAAGTGGAAAGCAGCTTGCGCAACAAGACGTCGCAGCCACTGCAGGCCCCCCCCCTCCCCCCCCCCCTCCCCAAAAAAAAGGAAACAAACAACATGTAAAAAGGGGATAAAGTCCACGGCGCCGCTGCAGCTCTCTCGGCTCCAGCAAGCATTTAGCGAGCGGGCGAAAGCCGACGCTCGCGACACGTTTGAGGCCAACGGGCCACATTCCAAAGGCGGTGCCATGTTCAACATCGACTACTCGAAATGGAACAACTTGAAGGAGGACAGCGACGAGGAAGCAGCGAGCACTCGAGCATCCCAAACGCCGCCGCCGCCGAGAAACAGCCGAGGCGGCCGACGCAACGAGCACGCAGCACGAGAGTGCAACCCCTAGTCGACGCCGAGCTCGCCATGGTCCTCGCCACGTACATCCGCGCGATGACCCCAAGCGAAGCAAGACGGCTCCGGCTGTACACGCAACGCCACGGATGTTTTGGCGAGAACGACCTGCCAGAGTGGCTCAGAGAAACTACAACAAGAGACTGGACGTTTCGAGTCCCGGCACCCACGCTGAAGAAACTGTTAGGATCGACTGAGTGGAATGACAAGGCAGCAGACCAGCTGTGCTACCCCTACTTCCATGCCCTGTGGACTGCAAGCGCCATCCCGCAGCCGAGCCGCCTCAACACAGATTCGAGCAGGCAGACAGTTGCGCGAGCACGGGGGAATTTAAAGCTTGCAGCTGCACGGTTACCTGATCTACCTCGCCATGTGCAGCGAGCGCTTCCACCGCTGCGACAAAGACGTGACCCTCACGCTCCTCTACTTGCTCGAATTTGAAGCCGTCTGGCACAGAATCCTCCTGAATTAGCAGATGAAGAATAGCTGCCAAAGCTTTCCGGACTCGCAGCTCGCAGTGCAGCCCCGAGAGGCGTCAAGATGGTTTTCGGCAATTGTAACAAGTAATTAAAAGGTTTTTGAATGGCTTTTTACATGGATGTTTAAACCGTTGCTACAAGAATCTAAATGACTTTAAAAGGGCTTTGGAGGCTACAAAGCAGGACCTGTCCGGGAGGCCCAAATACACGGGAAAAAATATAAACTTGTTTCCAAGGGTGCTTGGCAAACACATCTGTTTACCGCGGGCCCTGGGAGGTCTGGAAAGTCAAAAATGGTCCAAATTCATTCAAATTGCCCATTGGACGGGTTTCCCAGGCTCGGAACTCAAATCGGGTTTAGACAATCTGGGACTGGTGGGAACCCGTGTGAAACAGGAAAAACTCAAATCGAGTTTAGAAATCTTAGAGTGTGGGAATGGTTCCTGGGGGGACGGAGGTTCCAGAAACTCCGTTGAATTGCCCGGGGCGCCAGCTGCGCTGGCCAACCCTGAACGCTAAACCCTAAACCCGAAGCCCTAAACCCTAAACCTTCTAACCCTAAATCCTAAACCCTAAACCCTAACCTACACCCTACCCCCTAAACCCTGAACCGCAAACCCTGGCTGCGCACGTGAAAGCGCCAGCGTACACTGCGGGGTGGACAATCTTTCATGCCGACATGTCCACCTTTGAAACTTAACCCTAAGCCCCGAACCCTAAACCCCAAACCCGTAAGCCCAAGCTCAAACCCTAAACCCCATACCCTCAAACCATTCAAACCCTAAACCCTAAACCCTGAACCCTAAACCCTAAACCCTGCAAGGCCACCTCTGCACAGTCTACAGTCGGGGACTTTTTCGGAGGGGTTTCCAGCGCAAGAGCGCACGTGGGATCCCTTGCCCCAAGTTGGAAGGACCAAGTAGAACGCCCTTGTGCCACACAGTTTAGGGCTTCTTTCATGGTGTCAGGGTGTAGGGTTTTGAGCTTGCGGTTTTTGGGTTTTCGGGTTTAAGGTTTCGGGGGTGTTGGGTTTTAGGCTTCATCCTTTCCTCCGCCCGACTTTTTCGATGAAGGTGCCGAACGCCAAATCGCCAATGCGCGCCCGCGAGGTTCGACATGGGTTGAGGGGGTGATTTGCCTAGGACCCAGAGTAGGCCCTTATCCTTTTTGGGGCTTAGGCTCCCTTATCGGACCAATTATCCACAAAGGGTGCCCGTTTTATTCCTCGGTTGCTCTTGAGTCTAGTTGTTTTGGAGGATCTTGTTCCTGGTGCTTAAGGGGGAGCGCGAGTGGGGGGGTGAACAGGGGGTAATGGGGTCCTCAACGTGAACCCCACACCCTCAACCCCAAACCCCAAACCCCAAACCCTAAACTCTAAACCCTAAACCCTACACTCACCCTACATCCCGAACCCTGATCCCTAAACTTATAGGGTTCTTAAGGGAGGGGGGTTCAGAGGTTCCCTAATACTCCCTACACTCACTAAGGCTCCCTGGTACCGACCCCCCTTGAACCCCCTCCCTTAAGAACCCTATAATAAACCTTCGACCCTACAATGGGCCATCGAGGAGGTTGAAGCGCTCAAGGCCACTGGGAAACCAAAGTGGCGCCCAGCGTCCTACCCGAAAACCTAATTAGACCTGCGGGGCAGGCTTTTCAGGGGTTTAAGGGTTTCGGGTTTCGGGCCTGGGGTTCTTAGGGGTGTTCAAGGGTTTAGGGGTTAGGGTTTAGGCTTTAGGGTTCAGGGTTTAGGGTCTGCTCAAGCAGCGGAGGAGCCCGATAAGCCTCCCCAGCTGTACCTCCAAAGCAGTGCCTGCCCCAAGCCTACATTCTTGAAGGAGATGGGGTTCCTAAGCTTCTTTGAAGATGGACCATTGGTAAAAGAGTCCCGGAGACGGGAATCCTTACTGAACAAGAGCCTGGGGACAGGTCTTTTGAACAATTAGCATCTCGAGTCAGTTTGGCTTCCGTTTTCGAGGGCCTCAAGCCGGTGATCCTGGACGAAGCGGCTATCACCTCAAACCTCCCAGCTTAACCCACAGCCCAACACCCTAGAACCTTGAAACCCCAAGCCCGTTACCCTGAACCCTTTGTGCCATAACTGCAGGTCAAGCAAACCGTGCGAGTGCGGCAAAGCCGTGCAGGACCGTGGCTCTCCAGTCCTCCTTATTCTACAATATTATAGATTTCTTGGTAAATGTCGTGAAGAAGACATAGTGGACATCTTAAATACAACAAGTGTGACATTCAAGGGTAGTACTTTCTGTTCTTACTAGTGCAATTCTGGTTATTTGTTGTTCCTCCTCTTCTTCTTCTTCTGCTTATTTATGTTTGTCACTATCAGTATCATTATAGCTTGTTTGCTGGTTTTGCAGAGGGGCTTTCGGGCCTTAGGGGTTGAAGGCTAAACCCCCGGCCCTTGCACACACTTAACCCCGAAAGTGCCAAACATGGTTAATCTCCCCTGTATATATATATAATATCATATATCAGATCAGATCAGATCATATCAAGTCATATCAAATCAAATCATATCATATCATATCAGATCATATCGCATCATATCATATCATATCATATCATATCATATCATATCATATCATATCATATCATATCATATCATATCATATCATATCATATCATATCATATCATATATACATCTTCTACAAGGTGCGCCGGAATACAGGTCTGTGTTTTTCGAGCAAAACAAGTCTCTTCTGCCATATTTTCAAAGGCGTGTCAAAGCAGGAAGCTCTAAAACGTGGGCCTGCAGTGCGACGTGTTCTGCACATGTGAATATGTACAGGGTTTAGGGTTTAGGGTTGTGTTCCCCGGCCCCGGCTGTGGTTGGGCTGGGTGGGGTTCAGGGTTTAGGATTTAGGGTTGAGGGTGTAGGGTTTAGGGGGGGACTGTTGACACGGCGACACGGAACTGTTTTTCTGTATGCATATATATATATATATATTTGTGTATACATATATATGTATCTACGCCTGGTAATGTTTATGTGTAATTATCTATGCTTATGGCAAAGAAAACTATACGGGTTTGGGTTTGGGGTTAAACCTACCTACCCCTCCCCCCTGTCCAATCGACTTCCGCCGTCCATGGTGAAGTCCGAGGTGCAGCGTGCAAAGGCTTCAGCCAACCCCCGATTGACGAAGTCGGGTCCAGTGGTCACCGGTTTTTTCAGGCTGAATAAGGTTTAGGGTTTAGGGTTTAGGGTTTAGGACCTCCTTAGAAGAAACTTCGTCTTCTCTTTTTCCATGGCCAGGGAATGGAGATCTCCCCAACTTGTTGGGCAAGCGTCGCCCAGTGACCACCGCCGTGGAGACACACCCCTGCGATGTTCCTCGGCTGGTGGATTGTTTTTTTTTTCTTGGGAGTTTAAGATTTAGGGTTTAGGGAGCTTAGGGTTTAGGATTTCGGGTTTAGAGTTTCGCGTTTCGGGTAGGGTTCCGTTTTGGATTTCAGGACTTCGGGGGTGTGGGGGGGGCTGAGGGTTTCGGGTATTGAGTGTCAGACACTCAGCCGTTGGAGCTTGGGTATGTCGTTCCCATCCACCTCATTACCCCCGGTGCGGACCCAGCCGCCAGAAAGAGCACAGGATTCGGGTTTAGGGGTTTAGGGGTTTAGGGGTTTAGGGGTTTAGGGTTTAGGGGTTTAGGGTTTAGGGTTGAACCTCTGAATTTCAATCTGGAACCCCCAGAGGGCACAGTGCTTTTGAAAGGAAGTATGTCTTGTGAAGACCCTCCGTCCCAAACCTTCTCCAGGCTGAAGCTATCCGATTTGCTGCCTCCCCACAAAAAGACAACAAGCCCAAGTGCACGAAACCTACAGCCCGAAGCGCCCCAAGAGCCCCAGAGCCGAAAGCTCTGCAGAACCCTTGCCAATCTTGAAGACTCTGAACACTTCAAAGCCGCAAGCAAACCCTAGGGTTCCTCAAAACCCAAACCCTAAAGGCACAAGAACCATAAACCCTAAACCCTAAACCCTAAACCCTAAACCCTAAACCCTAAACCCTAAGCCCTAAGCCTTAAACCCTACTTCTAAACTCTAAACCCTAAACCCTAAACCCCAAACCCTACAGGCCCAAGAGCCTGCACACATTCGCAAGGATGCCCTGGCCTGCGCCATCGCCGCCCGCCAAGCCTTCCTCGAGTCTCAGCAGCGGCGCGCCGGCCGCGCCATGGGTGGCCGCTTCGTGACCCGGCAGCGGTTTAGGGTTTAGTGTTTAGGGTTTAGGGTTTTGGGTGAGTGAGTGGCGGGCGGGGTGGGGTTCTGGGTTGATTTTTGTTGGGTCTTCGGGCGTGTGTTCGGGGTGTTGAGGGGTTTTGGGGCCCCCACCACAAGACCCATCCTCCTCCCATCCTCAACCATGGAGGTGCGCGGAGGTTCCTGTTTCAGGTTTCTTTTTTTGCAGGGTTGAGGGTTCAGGGCTTTTGTTTTTTTTGTTGAGTTTTTTTTTGGTTGATTTTTTGGGTTCAGTGTCCAGGGCTTTTCGGATCTTAGGTTAGGTTGTTTTTAGGGTTTAGGGTTTGGGGATAACGGGTGTTTTGCAAACGGGTCGTTCATTGACCTGGGGAGTCCTACCAAGGGTTTAGGGTTTAGGGTTTGGGGTTTAGGGTTTAGGGTTTAGGGTTTAGGGTTTAGGCCGCCATGCTAGGACGTAGGATCATAGGCAGTATCTGCGAAGTCGGGTATTACATTCACTTGGTTAGGGCCCGATGGTGCGTCATGCATGGACCGTGGTGCATGGGCGCATGTACTTCTTGGCCATGCGCAGACTCTTTTCGGCTCGTCCGACAACATCTGCCTGTGTACTTGCGAACAGATTTAGATGCTGGCATCATGTCAAGGTGGGCATTTCCCAAAATAGACGCCCCCCCCCCCCCCCAAGGTACCCACAGAACACTGTAATCCTTATTGGAGCCCCTCGCCCTGGTTTTGGGAACACCAAGGTGATGTGAGGGACGACGGGTCCCCTAGCAGCCACAGCGACTTTGCCGAACAAGATGTTAGGCAGGGTGGTTTATACTACAGTTACTGGTGTTCTTTATGCATATGGTCAGTACTCTAAATTATGGTCCTTGTTTGGGGGTGCCCTAAATATTAAGTGCTGCCTTGTATTACAATCCCCCAACAAAAGTGACTTTCATGTCATGTAGAGAATTCCCCATAAAGGTGAGTGTTTTTCTTCTATATATATATGTATACATACATACATATATACATATATATATATATATTTAAAGATTTGTTTGCGCCCCGGCGGCCCCCCACCCCGGTCCCCGCCTTCCTCCCAGCTGACCTTGCATCCGTAGTCTGTTTTCCTTAGCTGTGCTTTCGCTCAGCAGGTTCAGTGTTGCCAGCACTACTTACTTGTTGCGTATTCTAGAGAAGTCCCCCGTCCCCGCAAGCCCTTTGTACTCTTTGTACGGTGTGCACAAAGAATCGGTTTTTGGGGAAGCGCAGACGCCTTCCTCCCAATGAAGGTATACTAAAGTATAGGGTTGTTGGCTTCCCCCCCCCCGCCCCCCCTTGGCGTGGTTGCGGGTTGGTTAAGGGTTTAGGGTTTTAGGGTTGAAGGTTATGTAGGGTTTACGGTTTTAGGGTTTAGCGCTTAGGGGTTGTGGGCTTTTAGGGCTTAGAGTTTTAGGGTCTTAGGGTTTAGGGTTTAGGGGGGGCCGAGAGCGCACAGCGCACTGCCATGTATGGGTGTCCTGGTGAGGCTGCCAGAAGTATTGCGGGGGCGTTCTTGTGGAATCCGAAGTTCAGGACCGGATTGTGGGTTCATAATCTGGCTCTTGTTGAAGGGGCTCAAAGTCAGTTACCGTCATGGGGTTATGTAGCAAATACCGTCGTGCCCTCCTTGTGGTAGCTTAGTTCGAGCTCTTAAACAAGAACCAAGTTATAGGAAGTGTCTGGTAAGCAGTAGCTCGCCGTTGCCACCTTCTGGAGATTGGACAGCATCTGCTGCGCAAGATGATGAGAAAGGGTGGAACGAAGAAGGCGCTCGAAGCAGGCGTTTCCATGAGAGTCCAAGGTCACACCCGTGCCCAATCTGCCCTCTAGCCTTTGGCTGTAGTCCCAAAGAGCTCAATACCCCTTAATTGAGGAATGTACCTTAACACATAATGAGGATCCCTTTAAAATCTAAGGAGTATTCCTTAGTTAAGGGGTATTGGGCTCTCTGGGTCCTAGGCTCCACCCTAAGCCCTAAACCCTAAACCCGAAACCCTAAACCCTGAACCCTGAACCCGAGCCGTTGATTGCAGCTCCAACCAAGCGCTTCTCCAAAGGTGAGGGACGGCAGCATCTTTGTCGAGCCTCAGCGGCTTGGTGTCAAAATGCGGGTTTAGGGTTTGGGGTTTAGGGTTTGGGGTTTAGGGTTTTGGGTTTAGGGTTTAGGGTTTAGGGTTTAGGGTTTAGTGGATAAGAGTCACGCTGGCTTCAGGGTCTCGACTGAGGGGTTTCGGCTCGGGCGCGTGCGGTTGAGAAATTGTTGCCGGAGCCGCTCCCCTTCGCGGCTAGTATGCTAGTATGTACCTGCAGTTGCAGCTGTGACTTTGGGAAAAGAACGTCAGTATGATACTTGTGACAGCCGCTAGCAGGTTGCAGTAGTTTTTACAACCCTAGCTCGCTTTGGACAGAGATCGGTTCCGGGCTGGTGAGTAACGATTCCACTGGCTACAGTACTCAGGACCCAGGACTGATTTTTTGGCCTAATGGCCTTATGATTCGGGGTCTTGAGCCATAGAAGTAAGTACAGTGATAATTGGGTTATAAGTACCCTGAACCTCCTTAATAGACCCTAAACACAAAACCCCTAAGCCCCCTTTGACTGTTCAGGTGAGATTGAGGCATCCGAGTGATGCAAACACGACGGTGCATGTTTAAAGCATCGGAGCACCCAGGTTATGAGTGGTACCATTTATGCCAAGGGGATGTGGTTCCTGCTGGGCAGAAGAGCATTCTTAGAAGTCTTGCATGATGCAAGATTTCTTGGGGGGTGCAGTACGTCCCTGCAGGAACTCAAGCACAAGACTTACACAAATCCACACAATTAGCCGCGCCACAAATGCGCCTTTGTACAACACTGTGGACCGCACTCTGGGCAACCGAAAGGTTCGGTACCCTTTGAGGCCTTGAGAGTTTTTAGGATTTGGAGGTTTTAGAGGCCTAGGGTTGTGGGGCTTAGGGTTTAGGGAGTTTAGGGGGTTTAGGGAGTTTAGGGTACAGCACGCAGGCCCAGAGCAGTAGCGCTCCGAATGGAAGATCTGCTTCCTGTGGGCTGATCCGTGAGCCCTCGTGTTTGTGGGCTCACGCGTCGGCTTCCCTGTCAGAGAGCATATTACCCTAAACCCTAAGCCTTAAATATCTGCGTGGATCCTTCTGGACACCAAAGACCCAAACCCATCACTCAGAGAACGCTTCTAACGCCTGGTAGCGTCGTAGCCCCGGATGCTGTCACACTGCAATTGCGCTGCTCAGACAGGTCTGGGGGGCATGAGTGGCCCTGCTGCGCGAAGCGCAGCGGGTGCCCCTCACATGCAGGAAGATGCGCGCACCAGCGCTCCAAAGCAAAGAGTCCCCAAGTTGTGCCGTGGTTCTGTAAGCCTCCGCAACGGTCTATTTCAGACTGAAAGCCCATGACAGAGCATAAGTTCGCGACCCAAAGCCTCAAACCCTCAACCCTACAAGCCCGAAGCCCTACACAAGGAAGACCCAAAGACCCTGAACTAGAATCCTCAAGCCTCAGCCCTAAACCCTAAACCCTAAACCCTAAACCCTAAACCCTAAACCCTAAACCCTAAACCCTAAACCCTAAACCCTAAACCCTAAACCTAACCCTAAACCCTAAACCCTAAACCCTAAACCCTAAACCCTAAACCCTAAACCCTAAACCCTAAACCCTAAACCCTAAACCCTAAACCCTAAACCCTAACCCTAAACCCTAAACCCTAAACCCTAAACCCTAAACCCTAAACCCTAAAACCCTAAAACCCTAAAGAACAGCACCGGCGCCAGGACGGCGCGGGTTTTTTCCAGAGCCTCTGGAATGGCGCGGCGGCGGCCATCGGCGTGGTCAGGCTTCTTCAGGGGGCTTATTTGGGTTCAGGGTTCAGGGTTCAGGGTTCAGGGTTCAGGGTTTAGGGTTTAGGGTTTAGGGTTTAGGGTTTAGGGTTTAGGGTTTAGGGTTTAGGGTTTAGGGTTTAGGGTTTAGGGTTTAGAGCTACACCCATGCAGTACCCTGCAAGATGCCCTAAATACCCTTATCAAAGGCATCCTTTAGGCCTGGATTAAAGGGTGTAACCCTAAACCCTAAACCCTAAACCCTAAACCCTAAACCCTAAACCCGAAACCCGAAACCCGAAACCCTAAACCCCAAACCCTACACCCTAAACCCCTGAACCCTGAACCCTTAACCCTCAACCCGTGGGTGGTGTCGTCAAGTTTTGGGGTTCAGGCTTCGGGGCTTCGGCTCCCCAGGGTTTCGGGATTTTGTGAGCCTAAGAGCCCCCCTTTTTTTCTCTTCCTTTTAGGGTTGGGTTTGCGGTTTAGGGTTTGACGGTTGAGGGTTTAGGGTTTAGGGTTTAGGGTTAAGGGTTCTGGATTACCTCTTCAGTCATTTAGCGTCTTGGTGGACCATGTAGACCTCTCAGAGGGGGCCTGGGCATAGTACACCCAGACCCCTGTGAGGATCCAAAAAGTAGATTGTTTCAAGGGTTCCTAAGAAGGACCCAGTAGCAGCATAGGGTACTTTTTAAGGGTTTAGGGTTCACCCCAGTAGGAGCATAGGGTACGATTTGGGGGATTCTACTTTTTGGATCCTCCCGGTGGGTCTGGGCGCGAGTGCACAGGGGGTGCAAAGCTGTTTATGCCCTCTGTGCAAAGAAGCAAGAAGGGGCAATGAGCAGCAAGGCAATAATTGCGTTCACCCTTTGGCAGCTCAAGCCATAAACTCAAATTAAAGCCTAAACCGCAAACCCTAAACCCTAAACCCTAAACCCCAAACCCTAAACCCTACAAAGCCTGAAGCCCTAAACCCTAAACCCTAAACCCTAAACCCTAAACCCTAAACCCTAAACCCTAAACCCTAAACCCTAAACCCTAAACCCTAAACCCTGAACCCTGAACCCTGAACCCTGAACCCTGAACCCTGAACCCTGAACCCTGAACCCTGAACCCTGAACCCTGACCCTGAACCCTAAACCCTAAACCCTAAACCCTAAACCCTAAACCCTAAACCCTAAACCCTAAACCCTAAACCCTAAACCCTAAACCCTAAACCCTAAACCCCAAACCCCAAACCCCAAACCCCGAACCCCAAACCCCAAACCCCAAACCCCAAACCCCAAACCCCAAACCCCAAACCCCAAACCCCAAACCCCAAACCCCAAACCCCAAACCCCAAACCCCAAACCCCAAACCCCAAACCCCAAACCCCAAACCCAATCTGCAGCACTTCTCGGCTCGAGCGCAGCATTCAGGGCATCGCTTCCCCAGTTCGCAGCCCGCACGCCATGAAGGTCGCGCTGTTCGGTGCCACAGGTGGTGGCCTTGCTGCATGTGTAGGGTCTGCAGGGACTTCAGGCTTTGTAGGGTTTAGGGTTTGGGGTTTAGGGTTTAAGGTTTAGGGTACAGTTTTGGTTTTCGGGGGTTTGTAGGGTTTGCAGGGGTTCATGCTCTGCAGGGTTTAGGATCCAGGGCTTGGGGTTTAGGGTTTCGGGTTCCGGGTCCATAACTCGGCGTTCCTGTGCTGTTTCGGTCCTGACCAACCCACCCCCCCACCCTAGGGGTTTAGGGTCTAGGGTTTAGGGTCACCCGAAATGACCCTAAACCCGAATTCTCACTCAGTATACCTCAAACGCTAAACCCTTTAAACCGCCCCACAGCACCCTCAAGCCCAGTAGAGGATTTTTGGGTTTAGGTTTCGGGGTTCAGGGCTTTAGCTTTTTTCCTTAGC